GGCCGTCTTGTGCCGACCCAGAAGCTGTCTTGTCTCCTCGGCTGGGCCGTGCCTTGTCTGGATGCCTTGGGCCGTCTTGGGCACCTGCCAACCCCAGACATACTCTGCGACACGCCACTTCCTGCCGTCGCTTGGACGTCCATTCCCTGTGTTTTTTCAGTTTCGTGCGTGTTTTTTTTGCTCGATGGTCCAGGATGGTCCTTGATGGTTCTCGCCGAGAAAAAGCATGCACACGTCCGAGCGATGCCAAGCACCTGCCAGCCCCAGGCATGCTCTGCGACACGCCACTTCCACCGCCCCCCATGCGACTGGAGGAGTGTACTCCTTTCCGGTTGCTGCATCAAGCGATGCCTACGCGAGAACCGCCAGCGTCAGCTAGCAGTGGGTCGGGCGTGTCCTCCTGCAGGCGGATTTCGGACGACAAATAATGAAATGGCCAAAAATGCTCAACAACAGTCAAGACGTCATAGAAACATCGTCCCCAGACTATCTTTTTGGAATGTTCCTCCTGTGGAGTGACGGCAAAGTCAAGCCCTGCGCACGAACTGCGCATGGGCAAATAAAAAGTTAGCACAGCGCACTGTCGCCGGACAGCGGGGAGGAGGAGGAGGAGGAGGACACGCGGGGAGGAGGAGGAGGAGGAGGAGGAGGAGGACATCGGTTCCACCTGTGAGGACACGCGGGGGAGGTGGTGGAGGTGGACGGAGGAGGAGGATGTAGGAGGAGGTGGAGAGGAGAGGGTGGAGGAGGAGGAGGAGGAAGGAGGAGGAGGAGGAGGAGGAGGAGGAGGAGGAGGAGGAGGGGCAAGGGGTGGAGGGACGAGCCCGACTTACAAAAAAGCCAGCGCTGGCTCGTGGAGGAGCCTGGGGGGTGCCCGCCGCTGGCCGGCATGGAGAGCGTGGCTCCGCTGCCCACTCCCGCCGTCGAGCTCTCGATCGGGCCTCCTCTGCTCTTTCAGCGCACCTTCCTGGCATCGCTCGGACGTGTGCATTTTTTTCTCGGCGAGGACCATCGAGGAGCATCCTTGATCACTTGGGGAAAAAACCACGCACGAAACCAAAAAAACACAGGGAATGGACGTCCGAGCGATGGCAGGCCTTTGAAGGGGCCCTGGGACGCACAAAGAAATACACACAAATAACAGGATTCGCCATATGTTCTTCTATTTTCTGGGTTTTTGTCTTCCCCTCCACTTCCCATAGTTTCCCATATTTTCCGGGAATCGACGATTAATTGCGTCTGTGTGTCCTTTCCCTCCTTAACCTTGGGCTCTGTGAGCGCCGCCGTGGGTGGAAACCTTTCCACCTGCACGAAGGAGCCCAGTGCCACGACGAACGGCGGACGAAACGACAGACGACAGACGAAAACGACAGGGCGCGCGAGGGGAGATCGACGGACGAAGCGACAGACGACAGATGGAAACGATAAGCGCGAAACTGTTTCACAATGCTGGAATTTCGCCAGGCAGAGTCCGCGGGTTCCAAGCTGGGCACGACAAGCGGCCGCCGCCGAAGATGTTAAAAATAAACGCAGACCATTGGTAAAGGCTTCTGAGCCCCGTGTCGTCGCGGCCCGGACTGCATTCATTTTCTTTGAATGGTGGAATTCCAACGCTACGATTGAGTTTCGCGTTCGTACCTTGCATCCACGGAGGTGCCTTGCTCGATGCTCGATGCGCTGAGAATGTCCTTGTTCAAAATGTGGTCGCACCAAGCGATACGTGTTCGGATCTCCGGCTGCCGCGTAGTGGCAAGCTGGCCGCTGGCCATCTTTGAACCCTGCTGGGTTTACGTTGTTTCACTCTATCCGGGCGCATTAACGCGCAGAAGTCTGTGCCATCGGATGGGGATGGTGGCGGGAACAGAGTAAGACCAAGGATAACGCTCCCTGTAAGACGGCGAATCCTCGCTGGCATGGTCTTGGAATTACGCAGGCGTGAGGATATGTGAACGCACGCGCTGTTTCAATGACGTGCGTGGAAGACCGCAACGCTGTAGGGCGTCAGGGCCGTAGTCCACTCATCATCGGTTTGCTCAATCTCCCGGTAACTGCCTGCTGAAAGCCTCTCTCAACTGGCGAGTGGTGAGGCTTTAGCATGACGAGCATTGGATGTCAGCTGCAACGACCACGTGACATGACGTTCGCCAACGACGAATCACTCCCCATTAGGGCCGACGCACACGTCGACACCGCCGTTCAAACTCGTGGATTGAGGTGGCACCCCCTCCCAGGATGCGTGCTGTTGGCCTGTGCCAGTGAAAGACGCTTCGAGCACTTTGCTTGCAGATGAACAAGGGACATTGTGTGCAGATGACTGTCTGCAACGTGCAACTGGCCACATGCACGAGTGCGGCTCTTTGTCATGGTACGCCTCTGAAGCGGCCTGAATACTACGCCTGTGCACGCTGACTGCCAGCATCCGCAAAACAACACAGCAACGTAAGCTACAACGGTTCCTGCACGATCTCGAATTCTTATCTTCAAGGGCCTTGCCTGGCTGCCTCGCCCAAGATTGCCTGGGATGCCGACCACCCGGTGAGCTGCTAGGGTCTTCTTAGTGTAACACCTTGCAACGTGATTCCCTCTGTCAGCCCGGTAGGCAAGAGCGCGCCTGGCGTCGCCCGAGTACGCGGCATCCCCGACAGTGTCTAGACAATTCCACTCCTGCGGATCCATGCGATACTGTGCCCTCTCTGACAGATCAGTATGCGTACGTGTAGTCTGATGCGGTTCCAGTAACAGCGGCATAATCCAACTCAACCTCACAGTATACTTCGACGGTAATCGCATGAGGCTACATGCGTTTCCCCCTTGGATGCGAAACCATCGCGACATTGGACTCAGATCTCAACTCCAGACTGCAAACCGAATCGGCCTATCGCATGTACGGATCTGCTTAAACTGCGTGCGACAACCATCCCTTATTGATTAAGAAGAAAGACCGTGATGGCAAACCGCAGGGCCATTCGACTACCTGGAGGACGCTGGCCCAACCAATCTGCAAACTCGTCTGCGCTCCAGGTGACGAAACTACGTTGCCGCTGTACCGTGTACCCAGCAGATGACAGCGCCATGCAACCCACATTTCAATTGCAGCTGCTCTCTTGGTATGTGCGACCTGTTTTTGGGCACCCACCTTTTGGAGTTAGCGAGGAGCTCAAACTTGTCAAATGATGGAGGTGTCAACTCATTGCTTCACGACTAATCATCGTAGGCCACGACTGTGCAATACCACAGTGTCGCTGGCAGATGCTCTCGAATGTGGACTGACGATTCCTGCCAAGGCATGCTTCAGATTCCCACTATTTGACCACCATTGCTCTACTTGAATTTCTCTGATACGCATTTGGAGCGGTTCGCTATCAAGTGGCCATAGTTGACATGCACCTTGTTGGAGTACATTTGCATCGTCGGCGTACGGTGGTTCCGAATCTGCGTTTGCATCGCCCGGTGGCATGCCTGTCTTGGGCCATAAGCTTTCCGCCTGCGCCTGCGATTGCTCGGGGAGGCTGGAGAGGAGAGATTAAAGCCATGCCTGGCGCACTCCCCCTATCTTTTCCATACCCAATGGTAGCATCGTAAGCGGCCCGGCGTCTTGAGTAACGCAAGGAGGCTGCAATGAAGGCTTCTGCTAAACGCACGGCAATGTTCACATTCAATCCCACAGGCCACGTGCGAGCTGGATGTGAAGCGTAGTGTTCAGCCCGCTCTCCCTCCTCCCCTTCACCAGCGCCTACATGGACATTGTGTTTGAGTTTGGCAAAGGTGAAGACTCTGTCCACTTCCCGCCTCTTCCCGCTCTTTTCTAGAGTGTAGGTTAAGAGCCCGACCCTGGAAGTAGAGATCGAGCGAATAAGGAGGAAGACTGAGGGGCACCGTTCGGAGGGAACCAATTCAGGGGGGAAACGTCGAGGTTGAATCAGCGATATATCGCTGACAGATCGCCGATAAACCCCGGACAGTGAGACCACACGTTTCTGGGCTGGTCGGGCTATTGGGCCCCTCTCGGCGATCAATGGGGCGATTATGGGAGGTCGATGCGCCCCCCTGAGCCCATTGGGGGTCGATGCATCCTCCCCTGAGCCTATCTCCCCTGACGTTGCCCCTGAAAGAAGAGCTGAACCCAATCAAGCCCGTCCTGAGCCCGTGTCGACCGCCTGCCTGGCCAATGGGGCATTTCTGCTCATGTGGGGCGGCCAACAGCGAGATATCCGATTATGCGGACAGACTGCGAGAGTAAGCAAGAACAGTGCAAGATCGGCCAACGTCGAATCGGGAAATCGGGTCGGATCGGATTGAACATCGGCTGCGCCCAGATACGCAACTGCGCTGGGCCGCGATTGGCCCACGATGCGTTCTGGGAGCTCTGGACATTCTAGCAGCCCTCGGCCGTTTCCTGCTCTCGGCCCCGTCCTCGGGCGTTTCCCGTTCTCGGCCCCGCCAGCTCGGGTGTTCGTCAAAGGAGGAGGAGGAGGAGGAGGAGGAGGAGGAGGAGGAGGAGGAGGGGGAGGAGGAGGAGGAGGAGGAGGAGGAGGAGGGAGGAAGGGAGGAGGAGGAGGAGGAGGAGGGGAGGAGGAGGAGAGGAGGAAGGAGAGGAGGAGTAGGAGGATGGGGGAGGAGGAGGAGGAGGAGGAGGAGGAGGAGGAGAAGGAGGAGGAGGAGGAGGAGGAGGGGTGCAATCAACGTCGGGAGAAAAAGCGTGCACCTCTCGCACAACTCTCGGGCCCGCGGTGGCAGTCCAGGGGGGCCGCTTCCGAGTGGCCCCCCAGACTGCCCTGCTCCTAGGAAAGGGGGGGCCCCCATCAGGGCCCTGGAGGGCCCCTTCATAAGGAACGTGGCCCCACAGGGGGCTTCCTTGGGGCCCTCCTGACTATCGAGGGCCCCAGAGGGAGCCCTGAAAGAGGGCCCCTTCAGGGCCATGACCCTGCAGTCCCCGATGCCCCCCCCCACGTGTCTCTCGTGCCCCCCCGCCGCCGTCCGCCCGATCGGGGCGGGCCCGCCTCGAAGTTGCCGGTGCCGTAGATGTTGAACTGGGTGTGCGGGAAGCCTCTCGTCACCTGGGCGGGCGGGGGGGGCTCCCACGATCGACGGACGTGCCTTGTGGATGACATGACAATGGACACCCTGACAACCCTATCATGGGCTTGAACGTGTGTTCGAGATGTCTGAAACATGTTCTCAAGCATGATTTAATCGTGCTTTCTATATGTTGAAGACGTATTTCAGACATGTTTCAGAGATCTGGGAATGATTTGGCAACGTGCTTCCTCTGCTTTGATCGTCCTCCCCAAACGTACCTCGATCCACGCCCTCGCGGTCTGGATTCTGGGGCTCGGCCCCGCGGAAGTGCGGTCGCACGGGTACAGGGCAGTTTTTAATACATAGTTTTTTCCTTTGCCTAGGATTTTAATCCATGATCAATTGTTGAATAAACTCATGCATGAGCTCATCGTTGTTTTCAATACTAATTCCCTGCATTTGTTAGGCGGCGAGCGAGGGGGGGAAATGAGAAGGAGAAGGCCTCCTGAGAAGGTTCGGAAGTCCCCCGGCCTTCTGAGAAGTTGTCCAAGACTTCCCCGAAGACAGAAAAAACTTCTCAGAAGGCCTCCGGCCTTCTGAGAAGTCCCGCCGCCTTCTGAGAAGGCCTTCTCCTTCTCAGTTCCCCCCCTCGCTCGCCGCCGATTTGTAATACATGATCCGCACGCGGAGCATGTATTAAAAACGGCACTGTACGCTCGGCGCGGGGGGCATCCGCGAGTAAGCGCCCCGTAGATCCGTGGGGCCTTGCGGCCCAGGGCTCCCGGCCGGCGCGGCCGCGGGTACGGCTGCGCCCTTCGCCAGCGAGGCTCGGCACGCCCGAGACGGGGGCGGCAGCATCAGTACAGGGCAGCTTCTTTTACATGGGCTTTTTGAGCATAGAGGACTTTTCAACACATGATCGATGTGTAAATAGATTTATGCACGAACTCATCGCCGTTTTGCATACTCAATCCCTGCATTTTGATGCATGATCCGCACGCGGAGCATGCATTGGAAACGGCACTGTAGGGAGGAATGCTCAGCAACGGATCCTGTCCGAATGAACCGCGGCTGCTCTTGGGTTCAACATTCTGCCACTGGTCGCAGCGCGCCCACCCCTTGAAACTGACAGAAGCCTGTCCGAACCGTGCAAGGACAACTATCCATTGTCTTCTTCCCCATCCGTATCGTTCCCACAGTGGGCGCCTGGAATCTTGCCGACACAATGCATATTTCGCATCTGGTCTCCGTTTGTTTCTGGCAAACTTCTCTCAATGTTGAGCAAGGAAGAGCGCTGTCCAGAGGGAAAGGGGTCCTGCAAGCCAGAGCCTCCCCTGGGACGAACTATCACCCTGATTTGTGCTCCCCGCGAGGCAGGACCAGCAACACTACCCCAGCAAAGCACCCAAATGGCAACACGGGTGAAGAGCCCACGCGTGAAGGTGCGAGCGCGGCCGTGAACGCCCTCAACGCACGTCTGACAACAAACATCGTGGCCGTGCGGGCCAGAAAAGCAGCCGGCATCGAAGCGAGAACGCGGCCCCTGAAGCTTTATGTCTGAAAAAAGATTCCCCATATTCTTGTGTATTTCCTTGGTTTTTGCCTTCCCCCCACTTCCCACATTTTCCCATATTTCCTGGGGAATCGAAGATTGATTGTGTGTGTGTGTGTGTGTGTTTCTTTCCCTCCCGAACGTCGGCGGCGAGGCAGGGGTCGTCTGCGCTGGCGGAAAGAGCCGGGACGGAGGGATGGCGTCGAAGCGAACTGTGCCACCATGCGGGGAGGGGGAGAGGCAGAGTCGAAGGAGGCGGCCGAAAGGAGGAGGGCAGGGAGGAGCGAGCCGCCCAGGGGGACGGGTCGCGCCCCGAGCGAGTGGCGCGGCCAGCTCAGCCAGCGGGCCCGGCGATCCCGGCACTCCCGGTGAGGAGGTCTCCAGCGAGCCGGCTGCCGGACGGGGCGTCCGGGAGGGGCTCCCCGCCGCCCCTGTGGGACTCGTCCGCGGTCCTTCTGTGCTGTGGAGCGAGCGCTCCGGCGAGGCGCTGCGCGGGGAGGGCGACCTCAGGGCCCCTTACCTTCAGGAGCTCCTCCGCGTCTTCGTGGCGACGGGCGCCGGTGTGGGAGGAGCTTCGGAGGAGCACGAGGTCATGATCATGATGCGTTCCAAGATTTCCGACAGGTTCCCAGGACTCCCGCGATTCCCAGCTGTCCCACACGGCCTCCAGAAACGAGGGCCGCTCGCTTCCCTGGAAATCCTGAAACGTATCCTGAGCCAGCCCCATCATAGCACCGTCCTCGCCCAAGACTGGCGGCGCGCAGAAGGGGGGTAAGGGGGGAGGGGTGAAGGCTTCTTCGGAGGAGGCTGCCTCTGTAAGGGGCCTCCCCTCCTCCCCCACCCCCCCTTCCTTCATTGATGCGCGTGGCCGACGGGCGCTGCGGAGACCGCCGCATGTGCCAGACGAGATCGCCCTCGTGACGGGTACGCCCACCACGAAGGGCTGCCCCATCGTGAGCGGCCCCGGGGGGCACGCGTCCGCGCTCCTGCCCGGGCCTCCGCGGGTGCGGGCCTCCGCGGGCGCCGGTCGGGAGCGCCCGGGGGCGATGGGCGCAGCGACCAGCCCGGGTGCAGGCGGAGCGGCAGGAGGGTGCACAGGAGGAGCAGCACGGGGACAGGGAGGAGCACGAGCGCCGAAGGGACACGTGAAGGAGGTTCTCAGAGGCGGCCAGAAGCGTTGGCTCACAGCGTGTTGCGGCGGCGGCCCCGTCGACACGCTCTGCCTTGCCTGTGGACAGTACGTCGCTCCGCCGGGGCGTCGCTTGATGGGGGGGCGGTGAATGGGGGGGGAACAGCGAGGGCTGCAGAGGAGGGGCCCTTGAGGGCCCCTCAGGGGGCCCTTCGTGGCTCAAACAGGGGGCCTCTGGGGTCCGAAGAGCGCACCTTCCTCCCCACCCATTTCTCGCCCCCCCCCCCCACGAAGCGACTCCCAATGCGCTCCGCGGGGCGGGAGGCCAGGAAACGCTCGGGACGTCGGCGCCGGGGGACCGGTAAGTGGACGACGCGTGTCGCGCCGAAGCGCGGTGGGCCATGGCCAGCAGAGCCACGCGCGAAACCGACGTCCCCAACGCGTGCTCTCCTACATTTCCGTTGCCCCCCAAAGGGGGGTCCAGCTGAAGAGGGGTGGTGCAATAGGTCGGGGGCAACTGCATTGCACATGGCTTGCGACGGAGAGACGTATTGCATTGTGCTGCAGCCAATGTATAGCACGCGAAGTTCAAGCAATACACTTGCGCACCGAGATGTATTGCACGCCCCAGATGTATTGTCCATGGCAACTCGGCGGTGGACAAACCTCCCTTTAGCAAACCTCCCCTAGTGAAAACGGCCCGGGGCCGAAACCGACGGACCTGGACCCGCAACAATGACGGCCGCGACGCCCTCTCGCGAACCGAAAGCGGCCAATTCGCGAATCGACGTGTCAGGGCAGGAGGCCCATCCCCCCCCGAGCAGCCCCACGAATGTATTGCACCAGGCCTCCTGCACCACCCCCTTGTCGCTGGACCCCCGCCTTCTTTCGCCCTTTCTCTGCTCATTAAAGCTGTGCGCGTCCCGCTTAGCTTTCAGCGGAAGAGGTTCGCTCTCGCCCCGCAGATCAACAAAAAAAGTCGCTGGACCCCCTCTTGGGTTCACCCGATACGCGGCGAAGCTCCGAGCGCCGCGCGTCGGGGGCATCTCGAGAGCTCCAGGTCCGGGCAGTGACCCGCGGACCTGGCCTCGAAGCGAGCCGAGGCCTCGCGGCGTGTTCTCCTCTCGGACTCGCCGCGCGGAGGGGGCTCTTCGAGACGCCCTGCAGCTCGGCGCGGAAGCTGCAGGGCGTCTCGGGGACCCCTCCGCGCCTCGAGGGGGGCGGAGCGGCGAGCAAGGGGCGATCGGGGGTCGACGCGCTTCCTCCTCCGCCTCCTCCTCCTCCTCCGCCTCCGCCTCCGCCTCCGCATCCTCCGCTCCTCTCCGCCTCCCCTCCTCCTCCTCCTCCTCCGCCTCCTCCCCTTCCCCTCCTCCTCCCTCGCCTCCCTCCTCACTTCCTCCCTCCTCCTCCTCCTCCTCCTCCTCCTCCTCCTCCCCGCTCCCCCCCGCGGGGATGCCGGCGAAGCCGCCCGCGTGCGGCCGGGCTGCCCACAGCGCCTCCCGGGCGGCCCTCGAGCCGCCGCGCCTCGAGGGGCGTGCGCGGCGGCGGGGCCGAAGCCGGCTGCATGCAGCAAGCACTGAAGGGGCCCTGGGACACACAAACAAACACACACATATATACATATATATATATGTATATATATATATATACATGTGTCTGTGTGTGTGTGTGTGACAGGATTCCCCCTTACAGGGCAGTTTGAAATACACCGGATTTCTAAACAGATAGTTTTTATGTTATATATATATATATATAGACATGACTAATGCATGAGGAAATTTATGCATGAACTCATCGTTGTTTCTACTACAAAATCCCTGCATTCTCATACATGATCCGCACGCGGAGCATGTATTCAAAACGGCAGTGTATGCTCTCATGGCTTCTGGGCTTTTGTCTGCCCCCCGACTTCCCATATCTTCCCATCTTTTCCTGGGGATCGACGATTCGTCGTGTCTCTGTGTGTGTTTTTCTTCTCCCCCTCCTGAAACATCGCCCCTCCTTTCCCGATCGCCCCCCCAGGTCGTCCGCCGCGGCCCGACGAAGGAGCGGCTCCGGGCCCACCCCTGGGGGCTCTGCCCCCGCGCGACGCACCTGCACCGTCGTGCGCTCGCTGGCGCACGCAGCCCGCTCCAGAGGCCCTGAACTGAAGGCGGGGGGGCGATGCTTTCGTTCCGCCGGCTTTCGGAGGAGGAGAAGGTACCCATACCTCTACCCTTCCCTCCTTCTCCCCTTTTTGGGCCTCCTGGCCAGCCCCCGTCGCCACCGCTGGATTCGCTTCGAAATCCTGGTCACAACGCACCCCCGGAGAGGTCCGGGGAGCAGCGGTATCGGTACCTGTTGGTTTCCCCAGGCTTCATCTGGCCTCCCACCGGCTCCTGTCGGCAGAGTCGCCCTCATGCTGCTCCCCCGGCCCCACGCTGGCCTGTGGCCGCGGCGTCTTTGGCATGCTGGACTTTGGCCTTTGGCCTTTGGCCTTTGGCCTTTGGCCTTTGGCCTTTGGCCTTTGGCCCACTCGGCATGCTGGCCTTTGGCCGCGGCGCCTGCGGAGAGGCCGACGCGTCGGATACGAAGGCGGGGGGTGCAGCAGCAGGCGCGCCTCGGCCCGGCGAGCTGGCCTGCGAGGAGTGCCCCCCCCCCCCCCCGGCCCAGCGGCAGCACTGCTTCGCTCCCCGCTCCTGGCTCTGGCTGCTTGCTGCGCCCCCACCCGCTCCCGCCGCCCGCCTGGATGCGGCACCCGCTCCTCTGGGTGATCTGGTTGATGTTGCTGCCGCCCCTGCCGACGATGATCTTGGCGGCCTGGTCGCACAAGAGCAGCGTCTTCCTCTGTCCGGAGGGAAGCTTCGTCTGGACCTGGGCGACTCACGCGCGGGAGCGCGGCTGGAACAAACGGAACGCGAAACGGGACACGCAGAACGCGAAGCGTCCCTCGTCTCCTCTCCCTCCTCGACCATCTCCTCCTTCACTGCTCTCCCCCTCCTCCTCTGCCTCCTTCTCCTTCTCCTTCTCTTCCTCCTTCTCTTCATCCTTCTCCTCATCGTCCCTCCCTCCTCTTCCTCCCTTCCTGCTCTTCTGTCTCCTGCCTCCTGCCTCCTCCTCCTCCTCCTCCTCCTCCTCCTCCTCCTCCTCCTCCTCCTCACATGAATCTCCTCCACGCCATGCTCCTCCTCCTCCTCCTCCTCGTCCTCCTCCTCCTCCCCTCCTCCTCCTCGTCCTCCTCCTCCTCGTCCTCCTCCTCCTCGTCCTCCTGCTCCTGCCGCGGGCGAGCTGTGGACAAAGGCAGGCAAGGGGCGGGCGGCGCCGGGACCGGGACCGCGCGCGGCTCGGGCTGGGGCACCGCTCGCGGCGGCTGCTGCGGCACCTGGGGGGCTCGCTTCTGCCGCCCCGGGTCCCGCGCGCCCGCGGGGCCCTCGACGCGGAGAAACAGCTAGGGGGGGTGAGGGGGAGAGGGGGAGGAGGACAAGCTAGGTGCGCTCGCGTCAACATCTGACATCCTACCCCTCCCTCCCATCCCTTACCATGGCGCTGATTTTCTCCATCCGCGGACGCGTGTCGTAGCGGACCTGTGGCTCCGCGCATGTGTGCGTAGTGGGTGGTGGTGCGCGTGCGTGCGTGCGTGTGTGCGTGGTTGTGGTTGTTGTGGTGGTGGTGTGTATGTGTGTGTGGTGCGTGTGTGCGCGTGTGCTGAAGTGTGACGTGGTGTGGCGTCTTGGTGGTTTGGTGGTGGGCCAGGTGCGTACGTGCGTGATGGCGGTGGTGGTGGTGGTGGCGGTGGTGGTGTGTGTGTGTGTGTGTCTGTGTGTGTGTGTGTGTGTGTGTGTGTGTGCGTGTGTGTGTGTGTGTGTGTGCGTGCGTGCGTGCGTGTGCGTGCGTGCGTGCGTGCGTGCGTGCGTGCGTGTGCGTGCGTGCGTGCGTGCGTGCGTGCGTGCGTGCGTGCGTGCGTGCGTGCGTGCGTGCGTGCGTGCGTGCGTGCTGTGTGTGCGCGCGTGTGATGTGGTGTGACGCGGTGTAGCGTGGTGGTGGTGGGTGGGGTAGTGCGGTGGTGGTGGCGGTGCGCGGTGGTGGTGCGCGTGCGTGCGTGCGTGCGTTGGTGGGTGGAAGTGGCGGTGTGTGTGCGTGCGGCGGGGCGGGGCGTGGTGCGGCGCGGTGGTGGCGGGCGGATGGGCGCGCGAGAAAGAGGCCCGCGCTGGGGCGAGAACGCCATCCTGAACGACGGAGGCCAAACACCGATCCGAAAATGAGGCCCACGCTGCAGCGGGAGCACGATTCGGAACGATTCGGGAGCAGAAATGAGGCCGGCGCCTCAGCGAGAGCAGCATTTCGAAAAAAAACGCAGGCGAAAACCCAACTCCGGGGAATCGTGTGTGTAAAAAACAGTACGCGGGGGGGGCGAATACGCAAAAGACGTCATCAGGGGAAGAGGGAGAGTAGTATTCATATTGAGTAATTGTGGAGGAGGAGGAGGAAGAGGAGGAGGAGGAGGAGGAGGAGGAGGAGGAGGAGAGAAGAGGAGGAGGAGGAGGCGGAGGAGGGAGGAGGGAGGAGGAGGAGGAGGAGGAGGAGGAGGAGGAGGAGGAGGAGGAGGAGGAGGCGGAGGAGGAGAGCAGGAGCAGGAGAGGAGCAGGAGGAGCAGGAGGAGCAGGAGAAGAGGAGGAGGATGAGGAGGAGGGAGGCTGATGACGAGGAGTAGGAGGAGGAGGAGGAGGAGGAGGAGGAGGAGGAGAGGAGGAGGAGGAGGGAGAGAACGAGGAGGAGGAGGAGAGGAGGAGAAGGAGTAGGAGGAGGAGGAGGAGGAGGAGGAGGAGGAGGGATGAGGAGCATGAGGAAGGAGGGGGAGGAACAGGAGGAGGAGGACGAGGAGGAGGAGGAGGGGGCGGAGGAGGAATAGGAGGAGGAGAAGGCAGGAGATAGAATAGCAGGAAGGGAGAACGAGGATGGAGGGACAATGAGGTGAAGGATGAAGAGAACGAGGAGGAGAAGGAGAAGGAGGAGGAAGGAGGAGAAGGAGGAGCCGGAAGAGGAGGAGGAGGATGAGGAGGAGGAGGATGGGAGGAGGAGGAGGAGGAGGCGGATGAGTACAAGGAAACGGAGGAGGACGAGGAGGAAGAGGAGGAGGATGCAGGAGGCAGGAGGGAGGGAGGAGGAGGAAGAGGAGGAATGGACGAGGAGGACGAGGAGTATCAACAAGAGGAGGAGCAGGAGGAGGACGAGGACGAGGACGAGGAGGAGGAGGAAGGAGGATGAGGAGGAGGGAGGGAGGGAGGGAGGGAGGGAGCGAGGGAGGGAGGAGGAGGAGGAGGAGGAGGAGGAGGAGGAGGAGGAGGATGAAGCAGGAGGCATGATGCACGAGGGATGGAGGAGGAAGAAAAGGGAAGGAAGATGAGGGGAGGATGAGGAATGGAGGATGAGGACGAAGAGGACGAAGAGGATGATGTTGATGAGGAGGAGGGGAATGATGATGAAGATGCTGATGCTACTGATAATGATGATGCTGATGATGATGATGAGGAGGAAGAGGATAAGGGGGAGGAAGAGGAGGATGAAGAGGATGATGAAACGGAGGAGGAGGCGAAGAAGGAGGAGGAGGAGAAGGAAGAGGAGGAAGGGGAAGGGGGAGGAAGAGCAGGAGGGGTAGGAATAGAACTGCACAGCTTGCGATAGCACATCGTAGGAGGATGAGGAGAACGCGGACGATCTGGAGGAGGGAGGACAAGGCACAGAACACGACGGAGCAGGAGGGTGGACGATGATTACGATAAGGAGGAGCCTGGTAATCCAGTAGTTGGACGCAGGGGAGACGAATCATGATGATGATGATGATGATGATGATGATGATGATGATGATGATGATGATGATGATGATGATGATGATGCTGATGAGGGGGAGGCGTATGAGGAGAGAAGTCATGACTGGGGATGAGAAGCAGGTGGATGCTGAGGTGTGGGAACAAGGTGTATGATAAGGATCATGCGGGTGAATGGGGGTGGATGGGATGAGGAATGCAGGATAAGGAATAAGATGAGAAGGAGGATGGCAATGTAAGATACTTTGGAGTCTGATACTGATGATGATGCTGAGGCTGATGATGGTGCTGAGGCTTCTGATGATGTTGCTGCTGCTTCCGATGATGATGATGCTGCTGATGATGATGATGATGCTGGTGATGACGACGATGCTGCCGCTGCTGCTGCTGATGATGCTGGTGATGACGATGATGCTGATGATAATGCTGCTGATGATGCTGATGCTGATGCTGCTGATGAGGAAGAGGGAGAGAAAGAGAGAGAGAGAGAGATAACGATGCCATGACACAAAAAGCCATGTATGTATACGTAGCAGCGAGCGAGCAAGAGCGATTGTGAGAGCAAGCGCGCGCGAGAGAGAGAGAGAGAGAGAGAGACAGAGATATGAGGGAGGATGGACGGCGACGAGAGGGATGATAGTGTCGAGGGGAGAAAGGTGAGGAAGATGTATAAACAGGGGGAAGAGGAGCTTGGATGAGGAAGATGATGATGAGGAGGAAGATGGAGGATGAAGAGGAAGAGGGCTCTGAGGGCTCTGATGAGACCGGTCGTTCAATGACCGCTGGCCACGCAGCCCCGCCTATGCCGAGCAGCGGATGCCGAACCCGATGGCCCAGCGAAAGTATACTGGCAGGCTGCCTGGGCGGAAAAACAATATTCGAACAGCGCCCGGCAGCGGCGACCCGCCACGAGCGGAAGACCGGCCCGGAGGCCAACACGAGGCGAAACCAGCAGGCGACGAGAAAAGCGGCGGGGCACTTCAGCGCGACCTGCAAGCACGAGGCACCTCACCAGTCGGCGCCCACGGCAAGCATCGCCTTGACCTCTTCCATGGCCTTCGCCTTGTCAGAACTCCTGCCCGAGCCATAGAAGAGGGCCCAACACCTTTCGAGTTTCTCTCGGTAACGTTCGCCGGTCAACTCGTCGCCGTCCTTGGCACCAATTACAGTGCTGTTGGTGACGACGTCCGGCTCGGCATCCAAGGAGGGCCGGGGCGGCGCCGCAAGCACGTCAGGGATGCCGCTTGTGAACTCCTCGTCGTGGTCGTCGAGATCGTACACGTCAGAGCCCAAGTCTCCGCCGCCGACGTGGCCGTAGAGCCCTCCGCCCGCGGGATTCGGCCCGTGGTCCTTCTCCTCGTCTTCCCAGTTGTTCGCACCATTGCCCAGCGTGTCGAGGCCCCAGAAAACGCTCTGCTCGGCGACGCCATTGCCCTTGACGTTCTTGAAATCGTAAGGCGTTCCCGCCAGTGGAGACGCAGCCGCGGTTACGGACGACCTGGCGCCTCCACACCACGAGCGCGTAGTCCAGCACGTTCCTGCAGTAGTGAGGCCCATCCTCTACTCGATCTCGGCATCGACCTGGGCGGTCAAGCTCTCCACCAAAGCCTCCCTGTCCTGCTGGCGGGACCACCTGTTCTTCCTCGTCTTGGGAAGCACCATCTCCGCTGTAGAAGCAGCGGGGTGAGACGCCAGAGCGCAGTCCGGCCTGCGCTCCAGCATCGCCTGCGCGCAGCACCTGCTCTCCTCCTCCAGGCGGCAACTGGTCGCCCTGAGAGTGTCCCTCTCGGCGGCCAGCACCATCAACCTCTCCTTCACTGACTACCTACCAGACCAGACCACCCCAACCCAACCCGAAGACCCGAATTTGACCCGAATTTCGGGTTGGGGGGGGGGTACGGATACCATATGTTTTTTCAACGTTCCCCGCCCCCCCCCCCCCACTGGAAATCGAGGATAAATTTGGGCCTTCGGGTTGGGTTGGGGTGGTTTGGTGGGTGGTGATTCACTGTGAGCTGGCCCTCCGCCTCCTCCGTGCAGCTGTCCTCCTGCTGCACCTTCAGCCCGGCGGCGCCCTGCGGATCCCCCATTCGGCTCCTGCTGCGCTCCCGGCATCGCCCGACGGCGGATCGCCGGGTGCTGCTCCAGTTTACGAGGAGGGGCATCTGCAGTGCACCTCCAGCCAGTGCTGCGCGAAGCCCGAAGCTCTTGAACATGCGCTTCGGGTGCGAGCACTTCCAAATCTCGACCTTGTCTGCCTCCAGGGCCTTCTCCGCACTGGCCACCGAAGCCGCAGAGCAGGCCTGGGCTGCAGGCTCCGACGAGCCCTTCGTCTTGGCGGCCTTGAACTCCTGGCGATTCTGCAAGATCTGGTTCCGCAGGGAGTCCCTGGTCGGCTCCCTGGCCACCCTGCGCCAAAGGGCCTGCTTGGCCACGGGCTGCGGGGGCTCCGGAATCCAGTGCCCATCCTCCGCCGACGCGGCGGAGAGGTTGGCACCTTTGGTGGTGAAGGAGGGCGGCGCGACATCACCCACGGCCGCTTGGCCCCCTCCGCGTCGAAGACCAGCTGGTCGAGCTCACGGGTGAGCACGACCTCCAGCTCCGACTTGCCGCCAGCCGTGATAAACTGGGCCTCCAGCTGCCCGAGGACCGTGCCGATGCAGGCCTCGCGGAGTGCCGCGCTGGGCACCAGCAGTCTTTTCAGCAAGCCATGGCACCGCACCGCGGGTTCGGGCGCGCTGCGCCCCTTTCAAGTGCGCGCGGCGCGCTGCGCCCCTTTCAAGTGCGCGCGCCCAACCTCTCTCTCAACCTCTCGAGGGAAATGGGCTTGAGCCAAAATGACTACGGATGAAAAGGAGGAGGAGGAGGAGGAGGAGGGATGAGGAAGAGGAGGAGGAAAAGGAGAAAGACGGGCCTCCGCGCAACCCGAATTGGATGCCAAATCAAATGAGGAGGGCGTAGTTACTTAGTGGCAGTAGTCGCGGTGGCAACAGTGGCAACAGTGGTAGCAGTGGGGAGGGAGATGGAGCAGGTCGGAAAGGGGGTATCGCACCTGCCGCCTTTCGTTTGGGGGGGGGAGGAGTGGGTCGGGGGGCGGGCATGTCTCAGCCCCGCTCCTCGCTCGCCTCCCTCCAGCTGGGCCTCCCCTTCCCCTCCAGCCCCCCTGCCCTCCCCCCCCCCGCTGGCAAGCGGCGAGCTCACGCCATCGCCAAGCCGTCCGAAAGCCAACTTCGGGCCAAGCCTTGGTGCGTGAGGTCGGCTCCCGGCATGGTGACCCCCCCCTCCCTCCTTCCCTCCCTTTCTCCGTCCCCACCTCTCTCCCCGTCCCCTCCTCTCTCTCCGTCCCCCCATCCCTCCTCCCTCCGGAGCCTCTCTTTGGCGATCGCCGAAGTGAGCCCCGAGTCAGCTCGGGCCTCTCTCGACCGCCTCCTGCGCGCTGCTGCCGGTGACGCGGGTTCGTTGACGCCACGTGCACGAGCGGGCGCAAGGCAGGGCCCGCCGCTCGCCCCGAGCGTCTCGAACGTGTCTGGCCCTCTCTTGGGTGGCCGCCAGACTGTAGGAAAAGTGCAGCCGAATTCACAATCTCTGGAGCTGGCGGGCCCGAAACGGATACAGGAGGAGCTCGACCACAGACCTTCCACAAGAAAGCCGACCCTGGGACCCCAGGACGCCCCTTGACTTTCGGTGTGGGAGCGTCACGTTTTCCGGACCAGGGCCGCCGAAACCCAAGAAACCCAGGGCACCCTGGAGGCAAGCAGGGTGTCTCTTGGCATGGGTGTTCTCAATCTGGGAAACACGGGAACGATGCTCAACAGCAGAGCGGTGCCCCAACACCGGCAACGGCCGCTGACAGGCGGGCGGCGCTCGTCCCAAGTGGACCATCCCCGCGGCGACACCGACGGCGCGCCCCGCTTGAGGTGGGCAGAAGCTGCTGCCGGTCTTCCTCCCCGTTCGTTCCGTAGTTGACCTTAGGTCGGGCATGTACTCCTGAAGACGGACTTTGGGAGGAAAATGAGCAATACGCAAGAAGTGGTCGAAAACATCGAAACAAACATCAAAACTAGTTAAACAAATCGTCCCCTGACATTTTTTGTTGTTTTTTTTTTTTTGCATTTTTTGAATAAATAGGCATTCCTCCTGTAGAGGGACATGCCCGACTTAAAAGTTATCCATGCCGACGCTCCAGGTGAAACGCATGGTGGGGGAACGACGGGGGGGAACTGGCCAAGAGGGGAAACATCGAGCTGGAATCGGCGATACGTCGCCGATACATGGTCCATAGGCTCTCGACAGCGAAGCCGCCCAGTCCTGGTCGGGGGCTCTCGGGCCCCTATCGGCGATCAATGGGCGTTTGGGCCCAGACATCCAATGCCGCGGCTTTTTGACACCATGGCTCCCAAGAATTTTTGACCTCTACTCCGGGACCGGCTTCTCTCATCCTCACTAATTGCTTGACCTTCCTGGGGCCCGGTGAGGGCCTCCGAGAGCCGCACGTCACCGAGCACCTCATGCCGTGATTTTTTTCGCTCGCGACGCGAGGATGTCAAAGGGGGGTCGATGCACTGCACCCCTGAGCCCATGCCCTCTCCGCCGTGGCCCTGGGTGGCAACGATAGGGGGGGACTGGCACAGGGGGGGATGCACCGACCTGGAATCGGCGATATACATCGCCGATAGCTCGGCATTAGGCCCCCGATAGTGAATCCGCGCCCTCCTGGGCGGGTTGGGGCTATCGGACACCTATCGGAGAGCAATGGTTGTGGATGCCACGAGAATGGACACCCTAACAGTCCTATCATCGAATAAAACCTGTGTTTAACATGTAGGAAACATACCATACAAATGTCTCAAACATGTTTTCACATATCTAAAACATGCTCGAACCATTCTTTTAGACATCTGGAAATTATTAGGCAACATGCTTCCTCTCTAATCTTGAGCAGGGACCGACCGTCCCGGCATTCCTATAGTCATACCACGAAGTGTTCCTAGAACCCAAAAATGTTCTAATAACAAAACAATTATCTCAGAACATAAACCCGATGTGATAAGACAAGACAGACTCCGCCATAAATGTTCTAAAAACATTTCGTGGAGACCACACAGGGTTCTTAGAACACTGTTTGGTGGGGCTATAGGCGCGCCAGGACGCTTCGCCACTGCTTGACAGTCGACTTCCACAAAGCAATGGGCGATTGGGGGCCGATGCGTCCCCCCCCCCCATGCCCGTCCCCCGATCGTTGCCCCTGGGTCGGGCCGGGCGAAAGGGGGGGATAGCAAAGGGTTTTTTGTTGCCTATTTCTGAACATTCCTCCTGTGGAGGGACATGCCCGACTTAAGTGTGGGGGAGGTGACGTCGAGACGAGGGAGGAGGACGACAGGAGAGGTCAAGAGGCAGCGCGCAGCAGCAGACGCAACACGAGACGAACACTCCGAGTAATTGCATCCGCTCCGGCAGGGGGGCCGACGCTCGGGGCCTGGGAAGTGTGGCGGCGAGCGCGGGGGGGGAAGCGAGAGGGAGCGGGCCTTCTGCTCCGGAGGCTCGGAAGTCCCCCTCGGTCTTCTCTGAGAAGTCTTCGAAGCCTTCCCCGAAGGCAGAAACAACTCGGGGAAGGCATAAGCAAAGACTTCTCAGAGTGCGCGAGGGCTTCTGAGAAGGCCCGCCGCCCTCTGAGACGGCCTTCTCCTTCTCCTTTCCACCCCTCGCTCGCCGCGTTAGGTCGGGCCTTTCCTCTCACGTGCGGATTTGGGAAGAAACATACAAAGTAGTCACAAAATGTCCAAACATAGTCAAACATAGAAAAAAACGCCCCCAGACTATTTTCTGACTCCTCCTGACTACTCCTCCTGTAGGGGTACATACCCGACTCAAGGCTGGCGTGCCGCGCCGACGCGTGGCGGGCCAGCACCTGCGACGCGACACGCCGGGCGAGCATGCCGTGCCGTATCCCTCCGAGGGCAAGCGCCTTCCGAAGGCACAGCTTCTTGCCTTCCGCGGGAGCCCGCTGCCTCCTGCCGCAGCGGTGCCGTCCACAGACTGTGCCTGAAGGCCTCCCAGATGGGGTCGGAGCAGATGGGGCGTTGACCTAAGGAACCCCAAATAAGGAACGAGGCCCCTTTTTTCCGTAAGTTAACCTTCGGTTTCCGGTCGAAAACATAAGGAAAACCTACGGCAAGCTGTGAAACACTTAAGGAACGCGGAGCCCCTCCCCAACCAAAAAGGGTTCCTTCTTCAGGGCCCCGACTGTAGATGGGATCGGAGGGTCGCGCCGCATGACAGATCCATCGGCGATGCATCAGCGATGCATCGGCGATGCACGCGGCGGTGCGCCGTCGACGTCGCCAATGCATCGGCGACGCCGGCGGGACGCACATCGGGCTGCGCATCTAGCTGCATCGCCGACGCACCGGCGCTGCGGCGCGACCCTCCGACCCCACCTGCTCCGACCCCACTTGGAAGGCCTGCGGAGCGTCCTTCCAAACGTTTGGCCTCCAGT